CAAGCCTTTCGTGTAAAATGACAGGTGGTTTGCCTTCTGTCATGATATCCAAACCTGCAGTAATAGAAGCCTTCCTGGAATATTTGAGGGATACTGCCTTCAAACTGGTGTCTGGACACCACCGGCCTGAATGGTGGACCGTCCTGTCTAAGCTTTGCATTGTTTGCCCTCTTGTCAGACACCAAGATCAACACTGCAGCCATGGGCAAGGAGCAAAATGTCAACAAAATCGATGACTTTGTCAAACTGGAGAAGATTGGAGAGGGTAAGAGCACCTTTATTTGTCTGGCACTCTGCTGTGCTTCATGTACATCATAGGTTGAATTGTTTTGCAATATTGTCTTACAGTTGTAATATTTTTACTTGTAATATTTCTATTATCAACACTTGCACACTGCTTTACTATCTTGACTTCTCCAATGTTTAGTTGCTGTGTTCCAACTCAATTGTTTTTCTTGTCTTTCTTTTGTGGATATCAATATGTGGGTAGTTAAAAGGACCAGCTCATGCTTTAGTTAGCCTGATGTCATAATTGCTGTTATCTTTGGAAGCTTCTAGGCTCTAGGTTTCCAGCCCTTCTTCCACTGCAATATCCTGTCACTTCACATTGCCCTCTCAAAATGACATTGTGACCACCAACCAGGCACCCATTCCCCACTGTAACCCTAATGCACCACATCTGTGCCCCACGTTCTTTTTGCTCTCCCCCCCCCCCCCATCCCCTCTCTGATAAGGTAGCCAAGCATATGGTAGCCTATGGTAGCTCCCCCTCCCTCCAGCTCCTACCGTCACAGTTACGGTGTAGTACCTCTTCAACACGCACTGAAGCACCACCATATGCCAGGCCGTCTCCGTCTATTTTGTCCCCAGCCCGTGCCAAACTGGCGTCATTGGCTATCCCATCTGAAGTTTCTGAAGTTTTCTCCTTCATAACACACTTGCACATGCCTCGCCGTCCCGTTTGCGCCGCGTAACATGCTCCCTGGCCCGCGTGGCAGGAACGTACGGCGTGGTCTACAAGGCGCAGCACAAGACCACTGGCCAGATCGTGGCCATGAAGAAGATCCGGCTGGAGACTGAGGAGGAGGCGTGCCGTCCACCGCCATCCGCGAGATCTCGCTGCTGCGGGAGCTTGTCCACCCCAACATCGTCAGCCTGGAGGACGTGCTGATGCAGGTCGGTCTCCCCACCTGCCAGGCCGGTCTTCCGCTCACCAGGTGCTCTCCCTCCCACCAGGTCGGTCTCCTGCCGGCCAGGTCGGTCTCCCTCCCACCAGGTCGGTCTCCCACCCGCCAGGTCGGTCTCCCTCCCGCCAGGTCGGTCTCCCTCCTACCAGGTCGGTCTCCCTCCCGCCAGGTCCGTCTCCCTCCCGCCGGGTTGGTCTCCCTTCCACCAGGTCGGTGTCCTTCCCGCCAGGCTGGTCTCCCTCCCGCCAGGTCGGTGTCCCTCCCGCCAGGTCAGTCTTCCTCCCGCCAGGTCGGTGTCCTTCCCGCCAGGTCGGTCTCCCTCCCGCCAGTTCAGCCGGCCGGGCGATGAGGCCGCCGCAGTGGCCGTGACGTGGTCCGTAGAAGCTCATCCCCTGAATGTCTTGAGTTGATGTGGGATCTCGAACCGCGGAGACGGCTGCTCGGCGACCTGGGACGGCACGTGGGGCCACAATCGGTCTGAAACGCCGCGGCATCAGCGGCCGAGGCTGTCAGTTACGCAGGGTAACCGGAGTGTAATGTAGATGGTTCAGGCGAGAGCCACCATTGGTTCAGGTTCATTCCATCAGGTCATCATCAGGTTCATTCCAGCTCTGCGGTCTCGCTGGGGCGCGGCGCCACGCCCCCCCCCCCTCCCCCCCCCCCGGCGTCTGTTCAGCGCCAGCAGGGCCCCAGGTCGAAAGCTGCTGCGACGGGCTTCATGACCTTGTGAAGCGGTGAACCGGTGATAAAGGTTTTTTACGGTCTGTCCTCAGGCAGACGTGTACTTTTGCGAGCGTTGCTGATATATCAAATCCGACCACATTTACGTCGCGGTCTTCAGCGAACCCTTGTCATTCCCCACTGTCCACATGGCCAGTATGGTGCACCCCATGTACGATGTTTTTTGCATTTAGCGAAGTAAAGGTCGTCTGCTAAGCGATCAGTGGTGCGGAGCCCATCACCGAAGTGAAGCTTATTAGTGAAGCAGTAGCGTATCTTGCGGCGAAATTTAGTGCACAGGACATAGTTGCTATTTTTGTTGCTTACTGCTAACAGGTTTTCGTGCTGACCAAGCAGAAATGATTAGCACGCAGGGTCTAAGGCGCCGTTGTCAGCGTACTGGAGCCATCAGTAGAGCTAAATCTTAATCCAGCTTAAGGTCGTCCATGCTATCCACAGTGCGACAGTGCCGTGTCTCACCAGTGCGGGCTTTCTCAAGGCAGCTATATGATCCTTGCGAACTCTCTGAGTCCCCTGCTTTGTCGGAGGATTAGCCTTTGGCATCGCGCTAACATTCCTTTCAGGCACCTCCATCCTGGGAGAATCGCCACCCATTCCGCACTGCGAGTATTTGTATTGCTCTTATACGGAATATGGGCCACCCTAAGAAGCAGAGAATTGATGGGGGCGCTGCAGCACAGACAGCGCACTGGAGCTGAACGCTGCGCATCTGCGCATGCGCGGGACGGGGACAAGTAAACAACACGAATGGCCCGTGACGGAGTGGTCATGAAATCCTGCGGTTTAAAACCGCCATCGTTATTGTCAACATCGTGCAATGTTAATGCCGACCGAATCATCCCGTCCAAGCGGATCAAACCGCGGCCTGGCGAGAAGGAGTCGCCGCGTGCTGCTGCACCCCGCTCGGGGCTGGCGTGCTCTGCCGGCGTCATTGGGGGCGCGCTACCCATTGTGCCCGTCTGCCCGGCTCTGCGACAGATGTTTGGAGTACTCCCCCCAAAGCGTGTGCTGGTGTCGCGATACGACTTCGATGCAAATGTGCGGCTTTTTTAGCCGCGGTGTCTCGATTTTTAGCTAAAAATCGTGTGATGTCACACAAGGGCTTGCTGTTTGCCGACGTGTACCTTAAGTCCATTTGATGCCCGCCAGCAGCATGGGGCTGACTGTTGACACACTTACGTTACCGAGGTGAATATGGAAGGAACAATTTGGGCTTTACAATGTAATGAAAACATCTAATATGTAAGACGTAATACCCGACCTACTTTTACGATCACGTTCTCATAATGTAAATCCTACGAATACAAGTTCACCCAATCCAAAACCATCGCTATGGTGGGGATAAAACATAGTTGCGCAGTCCACAGCCGTTAAGCACCAAACCACCACCGTCTCTGACGGTCCTGAGGTAGCATACTGAGAGTTGGGCCCCTCGACATCGGAGCTCTGGGGAAGGGGGGGGGGGGGCTGCACCAGGGCCGCCGGCGTCTACGGGGTGTCGTGCGCTGCCGGGCTCCGACGTGCCGCACTGGACCCCCCGAGCGGCGCTCGCATAGTCGTCACACGTCGAGAACAGTCTCGGTGTGACGGTCACCTCGCCGGACGGTGGACGCCGCGGCCGCGTCTTAACCCGCGCGGCGGATGTCGCGTCAGTCGGGCGAACACGTTCGACGTTGAGGTACACCAGCCATGCCGCCGTCCTGACGACGGGAGTGCTGCAGTCCCGTGGAACTCCGCGTGCCTGGCGCGCCGCCGCCGGCTTGCCGAGACCAGCCTGGTGACACGGACGGCGGCTCACGTACGCCGCTGACCCTCGTCCACTCCCTCCGCAGGAGAAGAAACTGTATCTGGTGTTCGAGTTCCTCTCGATGGACCTGAAGAAGTACAT